GATGACAATAAAAATAAAGCAACATGCTTTGTCAATGATATTTCGGTGAAAAAGACATCTACATTGTAGATAACTTTTTTTCTTAACGTATGAAATTATGCAAATGAACAATAAAAAAAAAACAATCAAAAACACAAGTATTGTTTAGGCTAATATAGTTTATTTTGAGAATTTTCTAATACTTATACTCATTAAAAAAAAAGTTTAGAATTCATACGTGTAATTTGCTAATAGTTTATTATATATGTAAAACAACATTGTTTCACTATACTGGACTGCTTTAAGATTTGCATAGTCTACAGTTTTCTCTTTTTTTATTACTTGGCTCTCGAAATATTGAATTGCAACTTTATGTATTTACAAAAAATATATATATAATAATAATAATTTCCACGTACATAAAATAATATACAAATTTGTAACCATAATCCACGCGTTTCTGAAATATCCACTTACGATTACGTACGTTAAAAGTTTTTTTTTTTTTTTCACGTGCATTTATTTATCAAACGAGGTATGGTACCAAAAACTCAGTGCTTAATTGCTTCAAAAAGACAGTAACAATCTAAATACAAACAAAAAAAATACGTACAGAAAATTATGGGTGAACAAAAAGAAAAAAAGGTAAGATTATGTGAAAAATTGCCACACTGATTCCCCATGAAACGAGCTCTAGAGCCGCAAGAAGCCCTCGTTATCCGAAACGTATTGTTAAATTTCGAAACGAGCCCGCAACTTTAGCCTCAAGCTATTTTCAATTCAAGACTCCCTAACGAACGAACGCGCCGAGTGTCAACGCAGCACAGAAGCACGGGCGCGTATACTTACACGGTCGCGGTATAGCTCTAGCGAGATAAGAAGTGCACGCGTATATGATACACGCAAACAGACTCGCGGTAACCTCGTGGAATCGAATGAAAAAAAATTTTTCCAACTTTTAAACCATTCAAAAAAATCCAGAAATAAATCTCAAAAAAAACCATAAGGAAAATAAAGAAAAACCCGTCGTTGCAGCCTTGCGGCTGGAAAATCGAGCACTCGCGTGTCAGTGTGTGTGCGCATATATATGGAGCGTTGCAGCAAGCGTTTGATAATATCATGTCCATGCGACTCGACTGAATTCGTGGGAATCGAGCAAACCGGTTCCCCCAATAGCGTTACATTTCCCTTATATAGGAGGGAAAATGAGTACGCGTGTGCGTGTGTTTTCACGGTGTGCTTGACGCGCAGAAACATTTGCAATTCCCCTCTATATATTATATACGAATCGAGTGAGGTATGGTTAGTTGGCTCGAGAACGAGAGACTTTCCCGCTTCCGTAGCGCGATTTTCTCGGCCGAGGCCGTAACCTTTACCCATATAAGTGAATGTAGGTATCGTTCATTCGTCGTATATAGTGTGTGTCCGTATTTGGATCTGATTTTTAATGCATGCCCCAAGTTTTACCATATAAATACACCACACAATGGACAAGAACATCGGATACTTTCGCTTAAGATAATTTGTTTTGAGCTTTCATTGTTTTAAACAATTTTTGGGTCGAGAACAATGGTGACTAATGATTTTACAAAAAATTAATACAAACGTTAAAACATTTACCTCATAAAAATACAATGCCTTTCGTTGATTGAAGAGTATTAAAAATACACAAATTGGTGCAAGAAAGTCATAAAAAGCTAAACATTATTATTATTATTATTATTGCTGTAAAAATTTGTAGTAAATGTGTTTAAAAGCTCTAGTGTTGATTACGAGTTTTGAGAGGAGTATGTCAATGTTGACAGCACGTGTGCATATAGAACAAATTATACTCTCACAGATTTTAGATTGCCCGTATTATGGTATTACCTTTTTGGCATTGTATAATCATGAGTCACCTAATTTTTTTTTTTCTTTTTTATTTATCTCCTCGATTTCACTGTTTACCCGACTCTTTGTTAATTTGCAATACCTACCTTGAATTAAAATTATTATTTTCTAATCCTCCGTGATACACATGTTGATGAGAAACTCTATTTTAAATGAAGTATATCAAAAAGCGTTATGTATTAAAAATGTATGTTTTGCAGCGAGTGAAAAGAATTTTCACTTATTAAAAAAAAAAAAATTTAGTAGTTGTAAAAAAAGTTAAAAAAAGTTTTTATTATGAATAAAAAAAACAATTAAATGTATTGTTATGATTTGTGGGTTATTTGGGTTCATTGAGCATATGCCACTTGTCAAAGGCAATGAGAGTCGACAATAATTAACGTTTACTGGACACATGCTTTGTTACAGTTGAGTAGGGGTTTACTCACCAAAGACCCGAATAAAATCTCATCTACAAATGTATCTTAATACACCATATATATATTATACACAAATAAATGGTTACACCGCATGCATGAGGGTTAATAGTCGTTCTCTAAAACTCTAAACGACTCGTAAACACAAATAGATTCTCTAAAACGTATTCGTGACCTGCGCAATACAAAAACATTTTGAACGCCTCGAATTTTCTTTCGGGTGGTGTGAACGACCTTAATCAAACTTAATTTAATGACACACTGGCAAACACGGACCCCAATAACCCCAGTAATTCAACTACACGTTAATGAGATAAAATATTCATAAACATACCCATGTCGGGCAAAATATTAATTAAGAATTCTTCCTAAAGTTACTTCATTATTGTAGTTAAAAAAATTAAATAAACTTTAACACGTCTATGATTCGCTAAAAACATTTTTCAAATAATTTTTAATTAATCATGCATGATGCCATATTTATATGCCACTACTACGTAATTATGTTACACGTATGGTAAGTTATGATGTTTAACAGCAAGTAATAAAAAAAAAAAATTCATTCCATTTTAGTTTTTCTCATCACAGCAGCTGTAGACTGTTTTATATGAATGCCTCGTTTTCAAGTCTTCAATAACAAAAAAAAATGCTTTTTGCACGTGCGTCCTTTTAAAGGCGCACAGTACACAGGACACACGTGTTAGTACTCCAGTATCTAAGGTTTGACTTGATAACATCGTCAGCTGGTGCAAACTGTAAAAGCGTGTGTCCGGGCACATAAAGAGTGCCACGCAGGTGTCTTTGACCAAAAATAACGCTGCTTCATTTTTTGAGGACTTGATCCACTGCTTTTTCGGTACATTCGTCAGAGCCGAAATAGAGTTAAAATCATATGTCTTGCGAGCCTCTGTACATGCAGTACCCATATTGTATAGGCGCGTCTCCCTTTTTTTCTACATGTATATATAGGCTCCGTCGCTCGACCAAACGTTTCGACTCTAGTATTTCTATACATATACGTTTGATCGTTAACAGGCTAATAGCATTATGAGTATCTAAGGTCAAGTTTGGGCAGGTTCTAAACATTTTTTTTTATCTTATCTTTGGATACCTACTTTCGTAACAAAACACCAATAATCGAAGTCTAATGGAAGTTTTATATTATTGTTTGACGCTATAGTGTTTATGCGTATCCTATAGCATAGAACGTTAACTGATAATAAATTTAACCCAAACTTTACTTGAATCATTATTTTATGTGCAATAGAAAAGTTGTACTAGCTTTTTCAAGAAACCTAAAGTTTTTTAATAGTTTATGTATGGCTTAAAAGTATGTGGAGGACAAAGTTTTTATTGCAAAGCTGTTCTGATTATGAATAGAAATATAAATATTAAGGTAACAATGTTTTTCATTCTCAGAGTATAAATGAATTGTTTTTAATCTAACTGTTGAGTGACGAAAAAAATTAAATCTTTTAAAAGTTACTTCACTCAAGTTCAATAACACTAACAGGCACTTGTTTAATTTGGCATAAATTATATATATTGTAACATATACGATCCCTTCGATATCATTTATCACCTGTAAGAATCCAAAAGAGGAGAAACTGATAATGATAACCAATAAAGTGCTGGTTAATAATTAATAAAAATCCGTGTCTGTCCAAAAATATTAATCAATAAGACTTTATCAACCCACAAAGCTTTGGTAAATTAATCCAGTATTTATTGATAGATAACAAGTGCTCATAAATTAAGCAATTCACATTAAAAAAAAAAAAAAAATTTACTCGTGACTTACAAAGTTGAGCACCTCCTACGTAACAACGAATGATCCGACGCTGTTTCAGCTCCTCCCCTGTGCTGCAGCCGCACATAACCACGTTCATAAATATTACGTATATGCACACCCATTCTTGTACCCCTTACACTATAGGTGAGCTGCCAGTGGCTCAGTGGTAGAGCGTTGGCCTTCCACCTGGGAGGCTCGAGTTCTCGATTCCCCGCTCCGTCCACTTACGGTACCTCTGTGGGGTTTTTTCTCCACATGTTCCATTATCACTGTGACTGCTCCTGACTTCTACCGCGCCGCAGTCAGTTATCAAAAACGGCAACAAATTAAAAACTCATAAAACAAAACATGAAATGTGGCATAACGGAGTCCATTAGGTACCCAAAAGCCAAATAAAGAAACAACAACAACAACAACAACTACACTATAGGTATTGATAAAAAATAAAAACTCTACGAGCGATCGCAAATCTAGCCGCACTAACAATCACACCTTTCTCCCTAAGAATATTAAGTAATATAACATCAACGAAAAAAAGGAAAATTTAACTTGTGTGAACACAGACGCAGAGCAAACCTGATAATACCACAGTACACGGAAAGAAAGAGAGCATATTCCACCCGCTCCCCTTTCGCTCTCTCTGTGTATTTCACCGAAATGAAACGGAGCAAATATTATATACACACAAAACGTGCTGCCCAACAACAACAGCATTCCAAACAGCTTTGGTCGTTCCAAACATGCACAGTACTTTTTTTAAAACGTATCGCTTATCAACTGAACACAAATGAAAAGTACTTGTACGAGTGAATGATTGAAAAAAATAAAAATGAGATATAACAAAACACACGGAAAACATCACAACATAGGTCGTCCCTTGGAGGTTATGTCCTCCCCTGTACAATCGTTTTATTCTTTCTTACCTCGAATCGTCGATTCCGAAGCCTCTATGTGTATGCACACTCAAGCTATCCTTCGATCTTCCTTTGAGAAAACTCTTCTTCAAAAGTCGTTTCGTCAAACATCAACTAATAGCGTACACTTGAATTACAACCACACACGCGCGAATCGGATGCAGACTATATAACATGTTGTGTAGCGCACAATACTAGTGTGCAAGATAAAAAGATACTCGTACGTGAAGGTACATATAGAGACGGTCAGGCTTTGGGGGGGTGATCATCGGTGCCATACATCACATCCAACAACAGATGATATTATACACAATATGTATGTGTTGGGCAACGGGAGACGCGCCGCGCGCTCACTACCTACCCAAATCGGATAACGTGGTTTGGTCATCTTTTTGTTAACTTTCAGTTAAGCTCGTTTATTAAATGTCTTGCCCGTGCCTGTGCGTTGGTCCACCCCCACTATACTTACTATATATATACACACCGAGTAACTTTCTTGCTCTCTTTTTCACAGATCGCGTCGTCAATTATTATTATATCAAAAAATTAGGATAAAATTGAGTTTTTTAATTTTAAACGCATTAAAATTCCGTCTTCTATTTACGGTTTGAATGAAATAACGCGATGGTAACAACGTTTTTTTTTTTTTTTTTTTTTCATTTTACTGTAAGCACGGAAAATTATTAACGGCCTGTAATGTAACAAAAAAACGAAAAATTTATTTCAAAGTAACATTTATGTTAATTGCGATATTTTTACAAAATGCACCTAAAATGAGATATTAACATAAAATCCGGAAACAATTTGGGATTCGCTCGTTTATGTATGCAAATACACCAACATTGAATAATTGCCCAAGTAAAAAATATTAATCACGATGCAATTGTTGCTTTCTGTTCCAGGTGGAGCATTTAAACTAAGCAGACGAATTGGGAAAAAAAAAAAAAAAAAAAAAATCCCTCGAAAAAAAGTCGACAATTGTAAGCTTGACGAAAGGTTGGTCGCACTAACGTCCTGAAACCATCATCAGGAAAGCAAAAAAACAAAAAAAAGAACACTTTCGATTATCGAAGTAGACATGGCCGACAACAAACAAATGGAGTTAGACCAATCGCAAGCTCAAGCCCAACAGCAACAGCAACAGCAGCAACAACAACAGCAACAACAACAGCAGCAACAAAATTCGAATCAGCAGCCCCAGCAGCAAATGATCATAACGACCCACGAGATGCAGCAACAACAGCAACAGCAGCAGCAGCAGCAACAGCAGCAGGCTCAGCAACAACAGCAAAATCAGGCCCAACAGCAGAGCCAGCAGCAAGCCAACGGGCCCCAAAAATTGCAGACGCAGGTCCAAGTCCAGCCCCAAGTTGCCGCAATTATGCCGCAGCAGCATGTACTTAGTTTGAATGTCTTTCTTTACCTCTATCTATCTGTTTATTTATTTATTCATTTATGAAAATTACGCGTGTGACCCCCCCCCCCAGCTACACTTATACAATTTTATGATAATCATTACAAAGTATGTATATTATTTGTACAGCGGATAATTGAGTTGATGGGTGTGCTGGCGCTGTATAGAGTAATGAGTAATATAACATGGTATACTAATTTTGAAGTTTAACGTTAGAAAATTCGCTTTGGATCCCTAGATTGGTAATCAAAGTAGATCATCCCCTCGTGTCCACCACCAAAAAAAAAAAAAAAAAAAAATCCAACAACGACAGCGCTACTTTTTTTCGCCCTCGCTCTTCCAATGTACACGCGCTACTTGTTCCTTGTAAAATTTCCTTCCTCAAATCTCCATTCAATCGCCTATTCACGCACCTTTTTATCAAGACACACACGCAATCGACCATACATCCGTACATACATACAATGACAACAAGCCCATATGTCCCCCGGTCCTCAAAAGCACACGTCGTTCAAAGCGTGTAACTCCCCGCGACCACCATCGCCGGCGCATCAATAGATAGCCTCGCACCCTCGTTCTTCTTCCGCACAAGCTCCTCTTCCCCGCATGTATCGTCGCAATGAGAAAAAGGAAAAGAAAAAAGAAAAAAAAAAGGGCGACGATTCGGCGCATGTACATAATATATATCCGTCACTTTCATATTATGGTCATGATAACCGGCACATACATTGTATATGTGGTACATACATAATATAATATACTAACTGGCGCGTTCTCCCTACTCTCCGTAACCATATACATATATAATAAATAACGTACTCGTCTGTTTGACATGGAAAATTATCGCCACAGGACGCGGTGTCGGTGACGATGCAGCAGCACCAGCAGCAGACCCAGCAGACCCAGCAGTCGCAAAACGTCGGTGGGGTCTCGATGACCCTGTCGGGCCAGCCGGGCACTACGACCATCACCACGATGGCCGCCCATCCCCAGGCGGTCCAGGTGATACAGCAACCCATGCAAAACCAGTACCACCTGCAGCACCTGTACACGAACCAGGGCACGCCGATCCTATTGCCCGGCAATCTACTGGCGCACCCGGCCGGCATCAACCCCTCCTCCATACAGGTACTGGATGGCTCGTGTTGACGCCCGTTTTTCTCTCTACACTTTGTTTTTTTTTTTTTTTTGTTTGTCTTCATTCTTCCACGTCTTTGTTTTTTCACTTTTGTGTGGGTTGATGTTGATGTTGTTGTTGTTGTTGTTGTTGTTGTTGGGGATTGTATGGGCGACGGTGCTTTGTGTGAGAAAAATCGGACGGGATCATCGGGGGGGTCAAAAAACATAGTTTGGGTTGGTTTGGCTCGCATAAGTCGTCTGTGATGTTGTCTATGTGTCGAAGGATTTACTCAAACGCTGCACCTTGTTTTTTTTTTTTTTTTTTTTTTTTTTTTTTTTTTTTTTTTTTGCTTTGGGGGCGGGAGCGATCCGTGGGAAGTAAATTGTAAAGTGCGTGTACAGATAGCGCTGCAAATGTACATGTACACGAAGGATTGGTGGATATCACTTGGCACTTGTGCGTAACAAAAAAATAAAATAAAATCAAAGAACACCGCCCAAGTACAGTATGTTCGGGAGCTCTTTTCACGTGAGGGGTTACAGAAAGGAAAAAACAAAAAAACAAAAAAAAAAAAATCAATCTACCCACACAACCGGCAATCGCACCTTGAAATGCAGTTTAAAAGACCCTGTCCGGCAAGTCCTTCCAGGCAGGCGCGCAGCTCGCGGGCCCGCACATGCTGACAACAGCATCAACAGGCCAGGGAGGTGCGCACCCTGGCGCCGGGGGTGCTAAGGTCCAAGGCTTTCCGGCCGGCTACATACCGGTGCCGACTTCGGCGACTCCGGGAGCCGGGCAGACTCTGGTGTTCAGTCAGTTGGAGGTCTTGCCTCAGCACCAGGCCTCCATACAGCAGCAGCAACAGCAGCAGGGAAACAACAAGAACGACCAGGTGCAGAAGGTGATTGGGTCCTTCCATTTTTTTTTTTCTTTTTTTGCTTTCTCGTCCTTCAAGGGGTTGCGTTTGCGGTTGATATTTTTGTTGTTCTTGGCTTTGGTTCATCGTCTCTCTTTTTTTTTTTTTTTTTTTTTTTTTTTTTTTTTTCGTCATTTGTTTTTAAAATTGTAAATGTTTTTTTTATTGTTTCACGCCCTCATGTTCAATGTAGTAAGGAATCGTCGGAGAACAATAATTGAAAGCTCGTCTCATGAACAAAATAAAAAAATAAATAAAAAAATAAACGTTACTTTTTCCCTCTGTTTCAGTACACCACTTGCACGACGGGCGCGCCGTCTGGTCAGAACCGAGGCATGCAATTTGCGCCCTGGCAGTTCGCGACCCAGGGCATCTGGGCTGCCGGTCTGCCCTCGCAAACGCTACTCACAGCCGCGCCCAACCAGATATTCATCCGCGATCCACAGACCGAAATGTTCATCGGCAGTCCCCAACCGATCCAGACCCAACACGGTAAGAGCCCACATTTCAATCATAATGAGGATCCTTCGATACAATTAATGCGTGGATGTACAAAAAGTAAAGCCAATGTCTCGTTGCAGCCTTGGCGGCTCAACAGCAAATCCAGAGCGTACAGCAGATCGCGACGACCGGTGGCAAACCGCGCGTCATGAACATCCAACAGCAGCAGACCGGCAAGCAGGGCGTCGTTAGTCAGAGGCCCTTGAATATTTTGCCGTCGTTGCAAGGCGTGCCCACGGCCAACATCAGGCCCGCCAGCTCAGTTTCCACGCAGACGAACCACGGCGTTCAGACGACCGTTCACGCTCAAGTACGTCCACTATTGGAATTGTAGAAGGAAAAAAAAAAAAAAAAAAAACATTTTACAACAATAACGATGATTCATCGCCCTACTTTGTTTTCATCGCAGAGCGGTAAGGCAGGTGGTGGCACGGGTAAGGGTCGAGGCAAGTCGGTGGTTCGCACGAGCCCGGGTCCCAACACCATAAGCGTGACGGTGCCGAAGGCGATAGGTGCCCAAGCCAACCAGCAAACGTCGTGCGTGACGACCAGTGTGGCCAACAGCATCGCTGGACAGACTGCCAAACAGCAGGTCCAGCAGCACACGACCATGATAACGATTCAGTCTGGCTCGACCGTTTCGACGACCGTAGCGACAGCGGCGACCAAGCCAACGATGCAGCTAGTGCACTCGATAGCCACTACCGTATCCGCGCAAGCCAACCAGCAGCAGCAGCAGCCTCCCGGCTCGCCCATGCAATCGGTCGAGAAGGCAAATTTCGCCCAGCCGCAGGGTAAACAAGCCGTGATGCAGTCACCACAGCAGCAACAGCAGGCCCAACAGCAGCAACAACAAGCCGCTCAGCAGCAACAGGCTCAGGTGGCCCAGCATCAGGCGCAGCAGCATCAGCAGGCCCAAGCTCAGGCACAGGCGCAAGCTCACCTCCAGCAACAACAGCAAATGATATTCATACAACAGATGCAGCAACAGTATCAGCAGGCCCAGCAGTCCCCTCAGCAGATTCAGCCTAAACCTCTCATGGGTGAGTACTGTTACTTATTTGCTGTGCTATTTATGAGCATTTTACGTGTGTGTTCGTGTGCGTGTACGTTGATGAGAAAGGAAGATTATTTGTGCTCTTGCCAATTGACATTGAGTTTTCGATTTAAAAAAAAATAATGATAATTCAAAAAAACAGTGGGGTTATTGTTTTCGTGTACAGTTGGCGAAAAATTTCGAAACGGAAAAACACATATTTTGTACACATACCAAAATTTATAGGGCGTGATGTGAGCAACAGATGTAAGAGGTATGGGGTCGTAAAAGCCGCGCGACCGGTGCCATAAAACCGCACGTCCAACAATCAACGGGATTCCGTTATTGCGAGCGATTGTCTGAATTCCTTATTTTTCAAAAATTCTTTAAAAGCTTTTGAGTCGACAAAAATACCTTTTTTTTTTTTTTTTTTTTTTTTTTAATTCAATCAAAGTCAGCATTGTGTGTATGTGTTTGTATACAATTCAAATATAAATCATAAAAAAAAAATAAATGTGAAAAAACTAAAAATCCACAGTAATGAAAAAATTCGATAAAATTCCAATAGTGTTTTCCCGTGCACCAACAGGCATGGCTGTGCAACAGCCGGGCCAACAGCAACAGAACGTCGTTTTGAGCGGCGATCGATCGATCATGCCGGTAGTCTCGCTAAATCCAGCCCTGATCGGCAACCAGATCGTAGGCGGACCGCACTCAGCGATTCAGACCCTACCGATCGTCGGCCAACCTACCGATTCCCTGCAAGCCGCCGCAGCCGCCGCCCAACAACAGATGCATCAGGCAGCTGCTGCTGCTGCTGCTCAACTCCAGGCACAACAGCAACAACAACAGCAACAACAGCAACAGCAACAACAACAACAACAACAACAGCAACAACAACAACAGCAGCAGCAGCAGCAGCAGCAGCAGCAACAACAACAGCAGGCTACCCAGTCCGCTCAGGCGAGTCAACCCGTGCCTCCGGAGCAGCCAGCTACCCCTCAGCCTGCTCTCAGTATGCCCCTGCTCAACGCCGTATCTCCGTCGGTCGACCGGGTGGCCAATGTCATCGGTGCTCACCAGCAGCAGCAGCAGCAGCTCGAGGTCCAGCCGAGCCAGCTGATGCAGCCGCCGTCCACGCCGGCTCTGGCGCCGGCCATACCGATCAACGTCGCCCTCGACGAAGCGAACAAAGTTGCGGAGCAACAGTTCTCTGGGGCGTTGAAGAAGGACAACGCGCTGCAAGGCGAACCGGCCGCGGTGCAGGTTGCCACAGCGGCGGCGGAAGCCAACGGTACTGCCGGTAAGTTGCTTGTTTGTTTCTGTGTTATCGTTTGCCCGGGACTCGAGCGCGCTCGTTACATGACGCAACCTGCATACACCTACCAAAAAGACTCATCATGTACGTAATCGCCCACGCTGACGACGACGACGGCGCGCGTCTACGTGCCAACGCCGCTGGGGGGAAAGAGATGGTGCTCACGTTAGGTTAGAGGCTCGGGTGGCGTGTATATTATATCCTCTACGTCAACTTACCGCGTAGTTTTTTCGGAGCGCTCTCGCAAAGCGTGCTGCACTCATCTATATAATACGTATACGTGTACTTGGTGCTTCGTGTTGCTCGGGGTTCATCTCATTTGTTTTGTTTTTGTTTTTTTTTTTTATTTTTTCCTCATTGCCAACCGAAATAATTTGTATCGCGCGTCGTTGACCGACATTGCATTACAATTAATTTAGCTTGTACGCGTGTACCTACGTATAGATACATTTGTACCTGTACTTGCATAGCTGTTATTCTCGTGTGTATACATATACGTATAAAACAGTGCCGCACGTACTCTCATGGTCAAGGCTGTGAACTTGCGAGGTGCGAATAGTTTTCAATTCGAAACGAAAGAGATCGATGCTCGCTCCTCTCTGCATCTGTGAACTAAACAGTGACCAACGTTTGCCTCGTAAGTCTTTTGGGATTTTTCAACGGCTTTCTATAGTTTTCTTCTTCTCTCTTTCTTTCTTTCTCAAAATAAAACATAGTACCTGCACGTTAACACTGATCGATCGGGAAACCATTAAGTAGTCATGAGAAAACGCAGACGTCAGAATCGAAAAGCTAGTAAGCACAGCAATTCCATCCTTCCGTGGATTTTGTGCACAAAACAATAAAATAATAATGATAATAACGATTTTCAAAATTGACTATGACAAGTACCGCAATGTGTTTATTTCAGAAATCGATCACCATGCGAACGAGAGCCACGAGCCGCTGAAACCCGGCGATGACAAACAGGCGCCGAGTAGCAATCCCCTGGCGAACCTGACAAAAGCCGTGCACTCGATGATGAACGGCTGCGACGATAACACGCCTCTGGAGTCTGCCATCCTCCCGACGCCGACGAGTGTCAAGCAGATGCCACCCAAGGCCATGGTCAAGCCTCAGGTGCTCACACACGTTATCGAGGGATTCGTCATCCAAGAAGGTACGAAGATAACGAATACAATCGGTACTTTCTTTTCCTTTTTTTTTTTTTTTTTTCTTTTTTCTTCTCGTCGAATGATTCAAGCTATGTGTGGTACATACATAGAGAGGGATAAATAATAATCATAATATCGTGTGACCACAGCCTCCGAGCCGTTTGCTGTCAACCGCTCGTCGCTCAATGGTTCCACGACCCAGGATAATAGCATCAGCAGGAACAACTCCGCGGACAAGGAGAATCAGGAAGAACCGCCGTCCAAGAGTAAGATGATTACTACCTTTATTACGTTTTTGGGCAAACTTCACAAATTTTGGCGATACATCGCGAATTTAACTTTAATTAATGTGTTTTGCGTTTATAAATTTTTGTATCGAAAATTTCGTCGGGGTTGTGTTTCTCAAAGTACCGATCGCGTCAAAAGAAAACTCCGTTTATCGGTGTTTCAATGAATTTTTAAAACTTTTTAATAGGAAAGAAAAATTACCTAGACGGCGATCAAAATCTGCAAGGAGGCAAGTGCGAGGCGTGCGGTAACACATTGGACGAAAATAATGTCAAGCTCAAGAAGGACAAGCGTTTCTGCTCGACGATTTGCGCTAAATCGTAAGTATCTACTGCTGAAAGCACAAATTTTCAGTTTAATTACATTTTTATTTAAAAAATAGCCAACGATCGATGATTAATTTATATTTGTCGTTATCAGGAAAAAGGAGATTCGCGATAACGGAGAGAACAAGTGGACTGATATGGAGGTGGACGTGAAAAATGATACTGACGCCATCAAGAAAAACGGAGATGACAAGGTGCACAACCATTTGTCCATCAACAGCATGCCACTGGACGATTTGGTACCAAAAATTAACCCTGTCAAGTGGACGGTACGTGGAATTCATTTTTTTTGTTAGTAGAGATATTTTATCCCAGATTATGGTGATGCATACCATAGTGCATTTTTTTCATAATATATTCGGTGTTAATTTTCTTTATTAACTGAGCAAAGCAACAAATCGGATTAAAGAATGTTTACCTAATCGATGCGCGCTTTTCATAATTTCAGGTGAACGAAGTGTGCGACTTTATACGCAACCTGCCCGGCTGTGCAGATTACGCGGAAGATTTCGCAATTCAAGAAATCGATGGTCAGGCTCTTATGTTGCTCAAGGAAGACCATCTGATGTCCGCGATGAGTATTAAACTTGGCCCTGCATTGAAGATCGTCGCAAAGATCGACTCGATGAGAACCGACGGTACAATGACGGGCGCTAGTCCCGTGTCCAGCGCCAACGTTTGAGTGCTATGGAGTATGTAGAGGTGTATGAGGACGTGATACATCCCTGGTGAATCGAATCATAGGATGTGTCATTTGAGGTAGTTGATAACTGTTTGTAAAAGGGGAACTCGATGTAAATATACCAAATAAGTAACATTGTCTTGAGGTTATTGACTGGAATAAATATTTTTCTAGTTAGTCTCTGATAGTGCGTAAAAATGGATTAATAAGCCTTTATAAAGGAAAATTTCCTTTCTCAAAGATAAATATCATCTTGGTGCAATAGTTTTTTGAAATGCATCACTGTTATAAAAAATAGTAAGTAAGGCACTAAAAGTAATTCTTTAACTTGTAAGTACAAACGATCTTGATCTAATAATATCATTAAGACGAAAAAAATTTAGTTTTAAATTACTTCAAACGTGAATGTAAATATTTAAAACTAAGATGTTTATTTAATTACAAATTTTATATTACAATTACTATGGAAACTTGGACATGATTATAAATCATTCATCGTGGTAATGATAAATTTCAAATTTTCACAAATTGTGAAAAAAAAAAATGCAAAACGCTCTTTAAAAATCTAAATATTTTTATGTTGAACAGAGATCATCCTAAGAAATTAGAAATTGGGCATGTAACTACATTAAAAAGTTCGAGTATAATTGTAATAAAGATAACTAATTTTTTTACAGAAATTAACTGTTTCTATGCAATTTGAAATAAACAATCATTCATAAATAAATGGTATTTTCTTTATTTACTTAACCAACACCCCTCCACGTAACATAACACAAATACTATTTTTTTTCTCATCATTGAGTTGCAAATCTATTGTTCATTTAATATAAATGAAATGGTTTTTTAAAAGGAAACTTAGTACTTCTAATGTTCTTGATATTTGAACCAACATGATCTATTATAGCAGTTGAAACACGAAAAAAAGACACTTTTATTTAAAACGAGCTATAAGCAAAAATATAATGAATTGATTCAAATATGCATAACACTTCTCTGATAAGTTAAATAGCTACACATTCTTGTTGAGGGATCAAAATATTTTGAAACCAAAAAAAATTCTAAAAATAATAACAATCTAGAACTATGTACAAAGTGTTTCCAACTAGCTTGTCATTACTGAAGCATTATCCTTCATCATGCCTTCTTTTAGAAGGTCTCGCTTCAGCTGTTCTTCCATTTCCTTCTTCAGAGGTTTTATGTACACAAAGTAATTGAATAGCTGATATCCTACTACAGCTGTAGTAACTAATGTAACGCCTACACAAGTCGTGACCCATGCTCGTTGCATTTTGTCATAAAGTAAATTTTTTGATCTTGAACTAACCATTTTGGAGTGATTTGAAAGCGTGGAAGCTGAAATAAAAATTGTAAAAATACATTTCATCTCTGATAACATTAAATAAATTTTATTACGAACAAAATGATGACATTGATGAATTTTTGTAAAACTTTTAATGATTACAAAAAATAAAAAAGTAATTAGTAGCGTAAAGACAAACGTAGAATAGCAAAAATTTACCTAAGAATCTGTTGAACAGCTTACGGTCTTGGAGAAAAATTGTTTTTTAGTCTGTTTCAATCTGTAGCTTCTTCGGCATTCAGTTCTGTCAAATTTTGATAATTACACTTGGGTTTCAAAAACTAATACTTGTTATAAGCGATTGTTGTTACAAACATAATTCAACAAATAACATTTCATTCGTGCAAAAACATACAATTCACTTCTGCGGACTAAGCAGCTACTGCCCTCAAACCTAACCTTAATTTTTTTCTTTGTGACCACGTGACCTTCCAGCCGCCCACACAAAATTCAAATAAATTCAATTGAGTTTGTTTTTGTTTCTAATCACCAATCCCACGTAACTATAGAAATTATTTGCATATAAGTATAAGTTAATTTGATCAATGATAAGACAGTTTAAGAATCACGCAATTTAAATTAAGAATTAAGTATACTCTAGCAAACTTCAAATTTTTCACTTGCATGTGTGACACAGGCTGTGTCTGAAAATATCACAACAACCCGGTATAAACGCCAGAGAGATTCTGGTAAACGCGGGTGTGTGGGGTAGGTATTGTCAATTGTAGTAGTAAAATGGATTTATTGGCTTTAAAATGTTGTCAATTGCAAAATCAGCAAAAACTTAAATGTCTTTAACAGGTACTTTCACTTCAAATTCATGTGATTTCATCAGTGATACCAATTTACTCGTCTATTTAGCACAATACATATAGTTGTTTTTATATATTACAGTGTTTTTACCTAAGAGAGTTAATTTAAAGGCAATTATAGTGTACTACAACTTTTCATACAGGCGACAAGCAATGGTTAAAATAATAGTGCATACCGAAAGTTGACGATTGCTGCTAGGCGCAAGTCAGCGCCGTATTGCAAATCGTCGTTATATTTTTGGAATTTCTATCGTAGAGTAAGGAGTCATTACAAAGAAAAAAAAATGAATATCATTGTCATCTTATATAAATAAATATATATATTATGAGGCTCTTTTACCCTTTTACCGTCAAGCTTGAATCAGATGGCGCCAGGGCACGTCGCGGCTGTCATGGCCGTCTCACTCACACAACATTACTTTTCAGTATTGTATGTACATAGGAAAGTAAAGTGTAGTGGTAAAGCGCAATATTTGAAATTTTGAAATGAATAAGGAAGACAAGAAAGAATATTATGGGAGCTTAAAAGTTTCAGAATTGAAAAAGCTTTTAAAAGGGAAAGGAGCAAGAGTCAGTGGAAGAAAAGCAGAACTCGTGGAGGCAAAGTGGTCGAGGCATAAGCCATGACTTGGGAGCGGCAAAAATGTTGGTCTCCCAATTGCTTCGAGCCACTTTTTTTTTATCACACTATCAGAAGGAAATTTAAATTTCACTTTCTTATCGCAGGATATTACACTGCACTTCATTTTTCCTACTATCTTTAAACGTAAATGCAAACAAAAATTGTCTGCAAACAACAGCAATCATTTACAAAGGTTATGTCTTCTGCTTTGCTCAT